AAGCTGGAGGAGGTGGCTGGGGAGAGGGAGGTCTGGACCTCTTTGCTTAGGCTGCTACCCCCGCGACCCGACCTCGGATAAGCGGATGAAGATGGATGGATGGATGGATATAAGCAACTTTATCTCAGCCACTCAAAACTGCAATGTAGAATTTACATGCTGATGACACTATTCTATATGCCACTGGCTCTTGCCTTGATCTGGCCATTGCAAATCTACAGTTTAATCTACAGTGGGTCAAAATCCTCTGGTCATACATAAATTTATTTTAAGCACTAATAAATCAAAATGCATGGTATTTATAAGGTAACCTAAAAGTATCCAACCACATTCAAAACTTTCATGGTGATAGAAGTGAAACTTTTAATTGTTATAAATATTTAGGACAACTACTCTTGCACATACATTTTTTAAAATGTGTGTCTAATAATTCATCCTAAACAACACCAATTTTAAACCAAAAACCACGTCTCAACCTTCAAAAAGGCCCTGGGATCACACACACACATTCAACCAACAACTAACCAGGGATACACTTTTCCTCAACAGCTTTTGTTTGCATGTTTAACAGGTAAGGTTCCTTTCCCCTTCTGCTCTGAAATTTAAATGATTATTGGCTGCGGTTTGATAATTTGATTGTGGCGTGAGGTGCTTCCAACTTCAGTTCAGTCAGGGGAAAAAAATTATGTTTTATCTTTTTAGGTTTTTGGACTTCTTTTGACAAAATTCAAGCAAATGTAAGTCTTGATCTTTTACAGTGTAGAGATGCAGAATAGGTTAGCAGTGAATGCACAGCATACTTTTGCAGAGCGCGTGATGGCTCCTATCTCTGAGTAGAGGTCGGTGCTCTGAGGGAAGTTTTCCACCACCACAGAGCAAACATGATGAAGCAGTGACTGCTTATGGACCGTGTCCTTTACTTCTGGAACCTTCTCCAAATAGGTCAGCTCGAAGCCTTTAGCCTGGAACAGGAATGTTGTGTTTATTTTGAAAAACAAACTCAGATTCTACTGACTTGTCTCCCAGTAATCTGATGTAATAGTCATGACTCACATTGGTGCCGTTGAGGAAGTTTCCGATGGAGAGCAGCGTAGAGAGGACGTAGCGGATAGTTTTGTTCTTCTCCAGCTGATCCATACCCTCCTTCAGATCCTGCAGTGGCTCTGCTACTTCCTAGTAGGAAAACACACACACACACACACACACACACACACACACACACACACACACACACACACACACACACACACACACACAGTTATACAAGTTAATTAAGACTCCCAAAGACATGTGTTTCATTAGTCTGCCATTAAATAAACAGCGAACAGGTGCATGTTGTCTGCCACCTAAAATCATCTGCTCTTGTTTAAGGTCGCGAGAGGTTGCCACAGAGGTTGCTGCTTCAGTCAAACTTCAGCACGAAACATGTTTCTGATTAAGTCGACCTCTTGTTTCTGTGCAGCCGGTTCTCTTGAGTGCATGTGTTTGTGTGCCTGCATGCTATGCTTCCCTCCATTAAAGCTTCCACTTCCAAAGCGGAGCCGGGAGCACGGCTCTGCCGAATATGCGGTGGGGGGAATCGTGCCTTACATGGAGATTAAAGACAACAACATCCCGCTGGATGCTGTAAAATGTACAGGGCGGTAACAGAGGGGCAGCATGTTTCTCATACTCCAGGCTTTGGCTTTGAACTTCTCCTCCTGGATGCATTCTTTGCTCGAATAAAACACGACGCCGTGCCAGAAGAAGACGAGGTGCCGCTAATAAGCGTGCATATTTTGTCATGATGTAACTATGTTGATGCTTTGCGGATGTTCTTTGTACTAAAAGGATGTTGATACTTAGTGATACGGGTTTAAAGAGTACACACAATAAGCACACATGCTGAGCACATTTGCTCAAACCTCTGTGGTCTGTTTCTGCTTTAAGGAAACCACTTTTACTTGCTAAGTATCATTTCAAATGTGGATGTAGTGATGGTGTTGGTTCCCTCCCCTTATGGAAAGTACATTTTTCTTAACACTCTTAGGGTTTTTGTTGTTTCACCTTCTCCGTTGCCTCGTAGTCCATTTTAAAGGCCCAGAGCTGGAGTCTGGCAGAGAGCTCACTGATGGAGGACAGGGTGAGGAGAAACTGCTCTGCAGAGCCCAGCGGGACATCAGGGTTGGCCAGCTGAGCCTCCTGAATCTTCTGCTTCTCCTCCTCTGTGGGGATCATCGTCAGGATTTTCTGTGAGGGGAAAAATGAAATTGTGGGATTAGAGAGGACAGCAAAGTGCAGATGCGATCTGTTTATCACTCCCTTTCTTTTTTACTATTGTTTGAATCTCTCACCTCTATGCCCTCCTTGTTGAGAGCATACTCGTCAAAGTTGAGGATGGCTGTCTTGATGGTGCGAGGTGGAGGCAGGACTGTCAGACCAATATTGATGGCGTTGCTCCTTTTGGAATCCAAAACGATGATCTCTTGGCGTTTGCCATCGGCCGCTGTTTTCTGGAGCATAAAAATACAGACGGGGG